GAGACCGCCACACCGGTTTGATGACGTCTCCGAACTCTGATATCTCAAATGATAATCTACTCGCACATTGACTTAATATTTGTGCAAGGTAACGTTAGTTGGGTAATCTATATAAGGCGAAAAATATAAGCAACCAAGGATTTTTGGGGGCGACACAACTTTCGAAAGTACTGACTCTCGTATGGTGCCGGTTTGTGCCAGAGTATCTAAAACACCTATCTGCTCAACTATAATAACGACGCGTTTCAAGTAGATTCCAATGGCTGGTACATGTGGTCCAATGAAAAACAATTTCGTGGGCATATCAGACGATGCGGTGGAGTGCTGACGTCCTCATGCATTAATAATTGAATGCTCTTTGCTAATCACGACCCGCTCGCAGTATTATTAAAATCCAAGGCGAAAACTAAACAGCGTAAGGTAATGGTAAGATAGTGATTTGTTTTCAGTCTGATATGTCAGACAGTGCCTGAGAATGGTGCTTGTGTCAGACTTCCACAACTGAACAACCTAAGAACGGCACCGCATTTTTAAGCCAATGGTCTCGCATTGGCCTATTGGATTTAATCGTTGACATCTATACACAATCCTCTCACGAATTACTGAAGGCAACTCCGATCATAGACAATTCAAACCTTTCTACCAATAAAAAAATTATCGATGTGCATGTGATAACTTACAATTCAGCAAATTCATAACTCAAAATCTGATGAGCGTCATGAAGATTGTTTTGCTGACGGTCATCTTTGTGGTGTATGTCCAAGCCAACACGTGTCAGCCTGATCAAGAAATGTTTGCTGGTTCTTGCTATCAACTGCTGGCTGATACAAAGACATGGCAAGCAGCCAGTGAAGCCTGCTATGAGATGGGTGCTCAGCTGGTAGTCCCTAAATCTCTCGAGGAGCACGAGTTTATCTGGAACATGTTCACCCAGAAGATCCACGATACTGGTGATGTTTGGATCGGCTGTAATGACATGGTGGAGGAAGGCAGGTATGTACAAACTGGCACAGAGGGCAAGGAATGCAACTACTTCAACTGGGCAGTGGGAGAGTCAAATTTGAATTTGAGAGAAAATTGTATCGAGATGAAACGTCGTGAAGGGGGTCTCTGGAATGACAACGAATGTTATAACGCTAACTATGTAATCTGTGAGCAACCTGCTCATCCATCTCCTACCCTCGAGATGACTTGCCTACAAGCCGATGAAATTGGCCATTTCGGACGCGACTGACTTGGAGAAAAATCGACTCAAGTATGGTCAAGTTTTTATAGTCACTGATCTTGAGAAAATAAAACTATATACTGACATATTGTCGTGAAAAGTATCCCTTTCCTTAAACAACTCTGAACATCTTTGACAGGGGTATCAGCCACGACATATAAAAATGGAACACACGCTATAAAGGTCCAAATAATATCAAAAGATCTCTAATTTTTTTTTACCTCTAACCCTCAAAATAAAAGTAAGCATTGACACACCTACATGAAATATTATACAACTACGCTCATAAAATGAAAGACAAATTACCCGAAGAAAACTAGATGTTAACAGGTCCGTATAATTTATGTTTCAGGCTAAATTAGCCGCAATCACCATTTGTCGTAGTTTGTAACATAAGTAGTTATGCCTAATGTAAAATTGAACTTTGATGTACGACGGGTAGTTTGTCTTATTCCAGCAATACGATAAAAATCTAGATTTTATGAGCGTAGTTGTGAGATGATAATAATTTCTAAAATATTTTACGTCGGTGTGTTTTAATATTTTAATTTAATTTAATGTTTAGTTTTTATTGCTTAATTTTTACTGCACAGCACTTTGAGATGTCATTGACATGGAAAGCATTTTTTTGTTTAATAATTCATTCTTATTAATTCATTATTACTAGTTGCATATATTTTATGCACTTAATTGAAGACTACGTTTGCTATTGCTTTAGATCAATGTTCACTTCAATACTTGATATTCGTAATGAAGGTCAGTTTTAGTGGTTAAATGTTTGGATTGTGGACAGCGAATAGCATACCGGTAAATGTTGTAAATTGAGCTGGAATTTAATATAAAATATTGACAAAAATGATACTCGAGCAATGTGCGCTCAATATATTTGCATGTTTAAACATTGATAGCTCTAAGTATTGTGGACGGCGTTGTTTATTTCTTCTAAGGAGATGCTTTGATAAGAGCAGCTGTCATCATAGAGAGTTGGATCTGTTGTGTTTGTACAAGATGCCAAAACAATCAACAGTAAGGCAAGAGTTACTCAAATATCGAAAATTGCGTCTAGGTTGACCCCTTCATTTTTGAATTGAAGAAACCTGCTGGAAAACTTAGAAGAGGAATAAGTTTTGAAGGTATAAAATTCACTACTTCCTCACGAAAAAAATCTGTGGTAAGTCACGACGTTTCATAGGAACTCAAAGAAACTAAAATTGCCATAAATTTGTAACCTTGATGCTGACAGAAACTATACTATCCATCCTAGGGTCTGAGGCTTAGTTGATGGAGCTCACAAGCGATGGATTTATTCGTCGTTGTTTGGTTTCCATATTGAGGCAGCTCCCTGAAAGGAGTGTTGAATGGGCGCCAATCTGCCCTCCAGGGCACGGAAGAGGGATGTGTGTGGGAGAAATTTCAGATTACGTTTCTTCAAAATTGAGAATGCATTCTTCTTTTCTTTTGGAATGGCCTTGACCGTATCAACAAAAGGCTTGAACTTAAAACCCGAATATATTAAAGAGAAAGAACAAATCTGACTGGCGTCATTGAAGAAAACGTTTGCAAGCTTCAGGTACACAAATGCGTATTAGGAGCCATGTAAGAATCGTGACATGCCTGAAGAAACCGTTATTTCCTCGGGACATATCTTCAGACTTTACAATTAAATAACATAATTAATCTATTATTTGAAATGTAACATTTTCTTTCAAACACCAAGATAATCCTTTCCCAAGTATCATCTGTGATTATTAAGGACGTTCGTCCCGTTGCACATCTTGGTGATTTGGCGTTCTTATACGTAAAATGCAGTGTTCATGAATAAAGTTGGACTGTTCCAAGGCATCAAACTCCAAAAACAGGTTCCTTATTTTTGAGTGATAACCATCTGCCAGTTTAATTGTAATGGCCCGGGGTTAATATACTAGTACTAGGCTATATTTTGAAATATTCATTCTAGGTTTTTATTGTACAGTAATAAATTGCACACTCCACAAAACAACATCGAAATCTCATATGGTCTAGTGGTTAGGATCCGGCGCTCTCACCGCCGTGGCCCGGGTTCGATTCCCGGTGTGGGAAGGTGGATTTTGTTGTTGTTCTTTCATTTTAGGGTTCCTTTTGTAACTATTGTTTTCGGAATAAGTCCAATAATTCATAATCTGAAGGCTTACAGCGAATTCCAATATAGCTTAGTGC